GCATACTAGACTCATGCTGTGGGCTCAAAAGCAATCCAGACCTATACTGAGGACCATGTAAGGGTATTCCAGTCATAGGCTGTGGGCATAGAGATTGTGATGGTTATGTATCTTGTAGGAGCGCGTTCGGAAAGGATGTACTGTTGAGATTCGGGGGAGTTATACTCGGTTGTGACGAATTAAAGGATTGTGGATGAGACGCAAGGATAGATCCTTAGATCTCAAGTTATGAGTAGACATGAGTTATGTTCATAGAGGTATTCCAATCTAGGGTATTCCATCCTGAGGATGACCGAGCCCTATGGTTGATTGGACCTTATATGTTTGGTATTCCAACCCGAGGGTTGACTGGGCCAAACATGTGTGTGATATGAGGGTATTCCATCCTAAGGATGACTGGATCTGTCGTAGGCATGCCTGGTATTCCAGCCCGAGGCTGATTGGGCCAGGTATGAGTGTCCGTACTTGTTAACTGGTTGATCACGTGAGTTGTTTCAGGAGCTGAAGGATGCATTATCCTGTCAGCACATAAAGGGTCGCTTCAGGACGAGGGAAAGTTGGGTTTCCGACACATTGGATCATCAGGATTATGGTCAGGTTTGGCAAGGTGGCATATAGATTAGACTTTCTGAAAGGTTCGGTTAGATTCACATCGCTTTTCACGTATGGCATCTGCAAAGGCACATATTGGATGAGTAGGAGGTTGTATCGTTGGGTGATGTTCAGGTCGGAGAGCACTTAAATCATGTAGGGAGACCAGTCGCAGCATCGGAAAAGGATCCGAGTAGACTTGGGAGCCAGAGTCCAAGATGCGGGAGCATTATCTTGAATTGTTCACCGCAGCAGGCTTCAAGGACGAAGCCTAGTTTAAGTGGGGGAGAGTTGTAACACCCCAAGATTTGTCATTTATAGTCCCTAGGGATGGAAGGGTAAAGCCATGAAAAGCCTAAGGGCTAAGTTGCAATTTTGGGACCAGGAGGAGTATGTTGCGCGTACATAAGGGTACGTTGAGCGTACTAGGCGCGCCCTAGTACGCTGGGCGTACACTTGTGTACGCTGGGCGTACTCATATCAGAAGGAAACCCTAATATTTAGGGTTTGGGTGCTATATAAACAACCTTATGAGCTCATAACCCCCCCTTACCTCAGCCTCCACTGATTAGAGTCGTTTTCCCCAAACCATAATCCTTTCCTTGAGGGTGTGAGCTTATATAGTGTATTTTGAGTATTTGGAGAGGAAGGTGTTGCATCAAGGAGTTGGAGAAGGAGAAAAAGCTTGTAGATCTGAAGTTGTTTGGTGCCCTAGAAGCTCCAGAAGGTAAAAAGCTTTAAACTTTATGCTTGTATGATATAGATCTAGCCATTCTAGCTTTATGGAACCATTCTTGTCCCAAAAAGTCTCCAAGTTGGTGCATGTTATGATTTAGACGAAATGAGTTGTCCTTTTAGACTCTAGAAAGGGTCCTAAGTGATAAAAATGATGTCTCAATGGCTGAAGGTGACCCATGCATGTAGTAGAAGGGTCTTAATGGATTAAGACCATGTATTAAGAACTTTCTGGACGTCCAAAGTGATAAAGTTCAAGACTTTATGGTTCTAAGGCACATTTGGTCGATGGATCTGAAATTTGGGCTTAAGTGCTTAAGCCATTAAGCACTTATTAGAGTTCTAAGAACAGCCCGCGTATGCCCCGCGTAAATCCAGTACGCCCAGTGTACTGGGTCAACCACCCTGATGGTGGTCAACACAAGGCGGAGTACGCCCAGCGTACCAGAGGAGTACGCCCAACATACGGCCTCTGTTGGGCCTTTGACGTTTTGGGCTTCAGGTTTGGGCTGCTTTTGGACTAATTGGACTTGGGCCTTGCTGGACTTTTTGAATAATGGTGTTTGAGCCAGTTTTGAATTTGGATCTTAGAAGAAGGCCCAAATAGGGAGTTACGCCCAAATTTGGAAGATTGGGCCAATAATAGGCCTTGTATATGTGGGCTTGTGGATCATGGATTTGGTATTGGGCCTTGGCCCAAATTAGAGGAAAGGCAAAATGGACTATGAATAGTTGTAGGACTCTTGGTCAAGATTGATATTCCCATTTATTGACTTAATATTCATTATTTGGATAGCTCGGGATTTTTGGTGAGACAACGATTCGGGAGTTCGATTCTTCAGTTCAAATCGACATTGCGAGATTAGTTATCCTCACTGTACTCAAGGGTCTAAGGCACCAAGGCCGACCCTTTGGATTGTAATCCTAGTTATCTTGTGATTATGTGTTGTGATGCTATGTTAGAGCTGTATTATGGTTTAGGGTGATGTTATGATCAGTGATATGTTAGGTCGGTATGACTATCTGTATGTGCTAGTTTACATAGTTTAAAGGATCTTAGGCTAAAGGATTGGGTTCTGCTTCGCAGATCTTGTCTGAGTCTAACCGTTGTGGAATCGAGTCCTTTGGCCTAAGATTGTTTACACTGTGGGGCAAGTATGCTTATATGTGTACATAATTGATTGGTAGTTGAGGGTATTCCATCCCGAGGATGATAGGACCCTAGTACGTTGTCTCTATAGTCTGTTATATGATTATCTGATATAGGTGCACATGTTTGATTGGTTATGGGAATTCCAACCCGATGGTTGTGGGCCGTGAGTATTCCATCCCGAAGATGATTGGACTCATAGTATGTGGGCATTCCAACCCGATGGTTGTGGGCCGTGAGTATTTCATCCCGAGGATGATTGGACTCATAGTACGTGGGCATTCCAACCCGGTGGTTGTGGGCCTGGGGTATTCCATCCTGATGGATGATTGGACCCATAATATCTGTTATATATGTATTGTGTGTGGGCATTCCAACCCGATGGTTGTGGGTCGAGAGTATTCCATCCCGAGGATGATTGGACTCGTATCAGGTGGGGTATTCCAACCCGATGGTTGATTGGACCCATAGTATGTTGGCATTCCAACCTGATGGTTGAGGGGCCTGAGGTATTCCATCCCGACGGATGATTGGACTCATAGTATGCTGTTTGTTATTGTATGTGTATTGTTGTGTGTATGGGTATTTTGGGGGTAACTCACTAAGCTTTCGGGCTTACAGTTTCAGTTTATTGTTTCAGGTTCAGCGGATGACCGCGGGAAGGCGAAGGCGTGACCGTACACTTCCTCGATTTATGATTATGATTTCTTGGAACTCTGATGTTAAAACTATTTTGAAAACAAATTGTAATAACTAAATGATTTTATATGATTTAAAAAGTTTTAAATTGGCTCGAATTTTACGGATGTTACAAGTGGATTGAATCTTAAGTAGGATGGGGAAGGGTAGAACTTGGCCCCCAACTATGAATGCCTGTTGCGGTCGCGCCTTCAAACAATTGTGTGCAAAGGTCACGGTACGGTAGTGGCGTGCGTCTCAAAGAATCCACATGTTTGTTTGATTGTTTGGAAAAAATATTTTATTATTTATACATGATAATATATTTTTTATAAGTAAACAAAATACCTTCGATTCTAGTTCTCATTCTTCTTTGGAAAGATTGAACGTATTGGTTGTTGGATTGTACACATTGTCAGTTTTGTTTTTAACTTCAAAAAAGCACCAAACTTTGACTTTAGGTAGTCATAGCGGTTCTTCATTTGTTTTTGGTCGGAAAAAGTTATGTTCAATTTTTAATTTTTCAGCTACATTCCTCCAAGATAGTGCTTTCAAAGTACTATATTCCCGTCCATCGACTGTAACTTCATGTAACAAGCTTCTAGAAACGTTTTCTCGACACCTTCAATCTTCCGACTAATCCTATCATTCTTTTCCCCATTTCTTTGATCAATTCAACAAACAAATGCATGTTTTAGCAACAATTTAAGCATTGCAAATGCACATTTTCAACCACAATTTAAGCAACACAAAGACACATTTTCAGCAACAATTTCAACAAAAAAATGCATAATTCAGCAACAATTTCAACAAAAAAAAATACAAAATTCAGCAACAATTTCAACAAAAAATGCACAATTCAGCAACTTTTGTCAACATATTTCATTTAACATCAGATTTCATAGCAAAAAAAGCATATATTGTACATTTAACATCATCTTTCATAACATTATAACATCATATTCCAGATTTCACCATATCAAGAGTTTGATTTTAGATTTCACCAAGTTTGATTTCAGGAAAAAAATAGCATTTAATTTTAGCAACAACAATTTGATTTCCGATTTCACAATAAGTTTTCTATAAAAACCGATTTCATAAGTTGTTTGAGAAGAAAAATAATGAGAACTTGTACTGATTTCAACATCGATTTCAGAAGAAAGTAATGGAGTGGTTTGCCTGCAGAAATCGTTGCTGTCGGAGGTGGAGTTGCAGAAATCGTTGTTGTTGAGGTGGAGCCGGAGTGTTGTGGCGCTGCGTCAGAGCTATCGGCGGAGAAGAAGACACCGGCGACTGTGATGGCGGGGAGGGAATACGCAGCTGGAGTCGATGTCGCTGTTGTGCGTCAATGAGAGGAAAGGTTAGAGGAGGCGAGGTTTTGAGAAGAAAAAATAAACAGCAAGACAACTAGGGCTAGGGCATTTGTGTCTTTATTTTTTTTTTCAGACACACCTTCAGGTCTGAAATTTTAAGAGCCATTTAATAAATTCTAATGTAAAAAATTAAAGGTTACCAAACATGCCAAATCTAAATTTTTAAGAGGTTATCTTTTTAATTTTTCAATTAAAAGGTAAACCTCAATGATTCATACCAACATTCCTATTGATCATATATGTAAGGAGTTATGTACTTATGAAAAGGCTTAAATGTAAGAAATCTATTATTATTATCCCACGAGTTACAATATAAATGAACTTTTGGTCATTATGTATCAGTAATTATTATTTAATATAACTTATTTATGATAAACATAAATATAAAAAGATAATATAATCCAATTTTATTGTCATATAATCTGATTTTTTTTGTGATCTGTTAAAAAAAAGAAGGAAAATATTATGAAATCCACCCATCTTTACATATTATACATATTCATATTTGCATCAATCAATTCATGTATTTATCGGATACATATGTGTATAAATTTACAAAATGATAATAACTAGTGAAGAATCCGGCGTTGCCAATGGCTGTTTTAGGCAACTCAAGACCCTCCTTGTCTTCTTGACTATGAGAAGCAAATCCACCTTCATCACCAACATTTGTTGCAGCTTGAAACCTTCATCACATGGCAAAAATGTGGAATACGTTAGTGATGTGGATTACATAGCAAACACAAGCAAAGGATGATTACATAACAAAAACATACCAAGGATGTAGTTAATATTTAAAAAGAGGTTGTAATAAGCTGTAGTAGATAGTATTCCAGTCTAGGCGTGAACACCTGTTTTCTTGGTTGCCTCCTGATCAAATTTGTTGGATTTGCTGGAAGATAACTTGAAAACATGTATGGGCAGTCATAAGCACAATAAAGTATTAAAAATAAAATCAATATGAAGAAAAATTTTCAAAAGTGTCCGGAACTCGAAAAACACAAGAACAAAGAAAACTGGTGGTCGGTTTATACATAGTTATGACACTGACAAGCTTCCTAAGGTTATTTTGATTTTCCATGATACATAGGAAAATGATGTTCACAAATTTTTCCATCGGGTAACTAACAAATCAATTATATGATCATCTGGTCAGATAAAAATGGTCAAAATTATGGGATGCCGGTTCAATGCTCTATTTTTCCATACCAAATTTACTAAAATTCACATAATTTATTGAACATAGAGGTCAAATATATACAACATTTTTTGAAATTATCCCAAATATCAATGCATAATTTTGGATCACGAATGAGTAGGTTGCACCATCACCATACAAGAAACTACGAAAAGTCTGTTTCATTGATTCGATACCAAAGAATGCTCCAGGAAAAGTACTAAGAAAGGAGTTGATCAACATGGCTCACTCTGATGTCACTTCTAAGCTTTAGTAACTTTACATTATATGCCATAATTAATAATGGCAAATAAATACTGTTTTAATTCAAGATTTTAGAATATCAAGCAAATTAGATTCAAAGTTGCAATTGTTTTAGGCAAAAGAAAAGGAGATAATCAAAGAGTTTTATTCTATGTATGTCAATGTCAGCAAGCAACTGAAACAGCTGGCTGTCCTCAATCCTCATGGATGAAAAAAAGGAAATTGTAGCAAATAAAGTTGGCCGATCCGGATTACATACAATATTCAAATAATAACAATGAAATCCTTTAAGAAGAAAAAACTTTTTGAACCTCAATAGTTACCTCCTTCGGGGGTTTCTCTGCAGGAAGCACTGCAATTACACCCATCTTACTGTAGTAGTCTATATATAACCTACACTTCGGTAAAAGAGTAAAAAGTAAAAAAGTGTTGTCAAAACAAATAATGCTTAAAAAATATCTGAGAAAATGTAGAAACTTAGGACTCAAACAGGAAAGCCTCATTTTCCAGACTTTCTGTATTAAGTAAAAAAGAAACACTTACTTGCATTAATGGCTCTCCAGTAACCTTCAAAAATACAAATATTACAAAAACACCCACAAGGTAGGTTGTATTGTACTGGGACTATTGGACTATGACTGATGTCAAATTGATAAAATTTCCAAATTCCAACAAGACGTAAATGCCCTCATCAGCCTAGAAGAGCCTTATTATTATATATCCTTACATCATCGATTCCGTGAATTAGTTCCTTGTGTTTGAAGCATCTCATCAAGCTGCAACAAATGAGAGAGTAAAAAAGTTTTAAAATTTGTAAGTAGAAGGAAGGAGATAAGGGTAAATGGGTAAATACCTTCTCGGCCTGGCAACTGTTGTAGGAAAACCATCAAAAATGAACCCTTTTTGGCATGATGGCTTCTTCATTGCTTCATCAATTATCCCAACCACTAGGGATCAATTTGGGTAAAAACTGTTGAAGACTCATATTACTGAGTCAAAGCAAAGCGTAGACCTTTTCCATGGTTTCTTTAGCTTTATTCCCGAGTGGAGTTTTGGCTGCTCTCAACATGTCACATGTTGGTAAGTGGCAAAGGCAGTATTCATCCTTAATGATGGGGGATTGAGTACCTTTGCCCGATCCAGGTGGACCTAACATTTATTCATTTTCTCATAAGCATTTCATCAAACACATGGAAGACAATACATATCTGATAAAATAAACATCCAAAATCTTCAACTAATTCATAGCAAAGCAAATAAAATTTATCAAAAAGGCTTTCTTTCGCAATTTAAACTTCTAACCAAATCAAAAATAAATCCAATATTCTCATATCTCGAATGCAAAATTCCAAAATTGGTATTATTTTTCGAATTCCATACGTAAAAAAATATCAAAGAGAGAAAAGGGGAAACACAAATTACCTTCCATGTTTTGCTATCCAAATGGTCGGAATCCATGGCGTCGATTTTTCCATTGAAATAGCCGTCCGACGGTGTTAATCAGGTCGATGCTGATGTTGAGAGCTTTTGATCGATCGCTGAAGTATTTTTCACCTCCCTAACCAAATCAAATCCCACCGTTGTTCCTCCCTAATCGACAGAGAGGCATGCAAAAAATTCCCGCGTCACAATTTCAATCTCGATTCCAGTTGGCGTCCAGTGAAATCAAGAATTCGAGTCTTCAGACGACGCAAGCGGTGCAGGGAGAAATAGAAGAGAGAAGGTGGATCGACTAAGGTGAGAAATCTAAAGATTCGGAATTAGAGGAGGCACGTATCATAGATTCAAAAGCCGGTGGAGTTATGTGTTAATATTCTATTGGTTAACAACTGCGGTGAATAACATGTGTTCCTTAGAGGGATCCTTTCATCTGGTGGCTTGTATGAGGAGATAACACGTATTTTCCATCGAACAAAGAAAAAATATATATAGAAGAAAGACAGAAAAAGTAAACAAAAACAAAAAAAAAAAAATCACCACCAATAAGAATTTCAGCCAATCACATAAAACTCCTGTTCACCAGTTGTGATATAGCATGTATATAAATGTTTTTTCATAATTTCCTATAGCTTAATAGCCCAACTTGTGTATGTAAAACATATCCAAATATGTATATGACTATAAATAAAGATTACACGACCTCAAATATATGTTTTTTACATTCGTTTGCATATCACGCAAAAGCATCTTGCCATCTTGCATATTATATCATTATTATTTATTCATTATTTTTGTTTTCATGTTTTTCATTATTCTTGTTTTCATTTTTTGAGCATTGTCCTAGAGAGTATGACGAATCACCAAGTTCACTTGTTTCTATAATTTTTATTATCAATTAAAATATCACCCAAAACTTTATCATCTCATCTTCGTTTTGTGGGTCTACGGCCGGTTTCATAGTTTTGACCAAGGACGTGTACTTGTTAAGTGCTCATAACTATCAGATACATGAAGACGCACATTACGTACAAGAACATATTCATATATGTGTATGAACATATGAAGATGTGGCAGCCAAAGTAGGTGGGAGCGGAGAATGGTGCTATCGTGGCAACGTGATTGGGGTGGTTCGATATAGGGCGTGTATCAGGCGGTTTGGTTCGGTTATTGGACAAAACCGAGTCATAACCATTACAATCCGTTAATGCATTTGGTAGCCATTGGATATGGTTAGCATTGATTACTTTTTTTGAACAACAACAAAACTTTATATAAACTTAGAAAAGGCTAGCTAAGAGCTAGCAGAAAAAAATACAAAATCAAGGCATCAACGGATTCCGCATCCACGATGTCCAACTATGGCTAGCCTTAGAGTTTCGATAGGAGAACCAACGAAAAGAAAGATCGACAATAATATGAAACAAAAATTGTTTCTTAAACTTATTAGGGCTAAAAATAATGAAATTCCTATAAGACCAGATCACCCACAACACTCATGCAAACTGTATCCAAGATGGAACACCCGCAAGTAGTCACCATAGCGGTATCAATCCACTGCAACATATCAGAAGATCCCATGAACGTTGGAATCGAAACATCTAACCAAAGTTCCACCCTTTTCCAAATCTGATGAACCACATCACATTGAAAGAAAAGATGAGAGACATCTTCCTGGCCAGCCTGACAAATTGGACAAAGAATGGACTCCAACTCCACTCCTCTATCCACCAGAATCGATCTAACAGGAATTCTGTTTAACAACAATCTCTACAAAAAAAGTATTAACTTTAATAGGAACATGCTTATTCCATCGGGTAACGACCCCTCTATCAGGAAGAGTATAAGAATCAATATGATGTCTAGCAGAGTTAACCAAAAAAGTACCACTTAGATCATAATCCCAAGTCTACCTGTCCGGGTTAGAGGTCAGAACAATGGGGTTCAAAAGCTCAATAAGATTCTTCAATTGCTCAGATTCCATTCCACCTCTAATTAGACGACGCTAAGAGAAATTCTAGCCAGAAGAACTCCAAAAAATCTCGAACAAGCCCACCTTTCAAAATAGATAAAACATACAACCTGTGGAACTGTGTTTTGAGAAGCATGCCCCCACACCATGCATCCTCCCAAAATCTCGAAATAAACCCATCACCAACCACAATAAACATCGAATTTACGTCTATAATTTTTTGTTCATGTAATTGATTAATATATCCCACTATTTTTTTCCACACCCTGATCCCTCCTATAGGCCGAGAACCCCCAAGAGAGCCTCCATTAACCCTCTCCAACCCCTTAGATAACTTTAACCCATAACGATCCTGCTTCACGAAAAAAATGCCACCTCCGCTTGTAAAGGAGCGCCTGGTTGAAAGCATCCAAACTACGAACATTTAAACCACCTTTATCTCTTGAATTTAAAACAACATCCCATTTCGCCCAATGAATACGCCTTTGATCTTCTTCCATACCCCCATAAAAACCAAGCTCTACAAGCTTCCACCACATGACAAATAGTAGAAGGTATTCTAAAAATCGAGAAAAAATAAATACCAAGACTACTTAGAACCAATTTGATAAGAGTTAAATGCCCACCTATGGAAAGAAGCTTGACTTTCCAAGCTGAAAGTCTTTTATGGAACCGATCAACGATAGTGTCCCGACTACTAACATGAGTCATAGAGCCACCAAATGGAATCCCGAGATAAGAAAAAGGAAGAGTAGCCATTGCACGCCTTGTAAAAGAAGCTAAAGAAACAACCTCAAGCTGATCCACTCCAACCCCCACAAGGGTAGATTTAAAGAGATTAATCTTTAAACTAGAAACCATATAAAAACACTGAAGAATAGTAATAAGATTCCTAATGTTTCTCTTATCCCATTTACCCAGAAATAATGCATCATCTGCATAGAAAAGATGTGATAACACAAAGTTAGAATCTCCCACATTGACACCCTGAAATCTACCTGAAGCAACTGCATCCTCCATGGTAATGTGAAACCCCTCCATAGCAATAAGAAACAAGAACGGGGAGATAGGATCACCCTGTCTCAAACCTTTGAACAGCTGGAGTTCTTCTATGGGATTCCCATTAACAAGAACGGAAGATTTCACATTTTTAAATAACCCTCTGATCCACGACTGCCATCTATCCCCAAACCCCACAAACACCATAATTTGATCCAAATAATCCCAACTAATCATAAGCTTTCTTAAAATCAACTTTAAAAATAAGAAAATTCTTTTTTTTTCTTACACCAAGAAACCAACTCACTCATCATAAGCGGCCCGTCTAAGATTTGTCGGCCCTTAAGAAAAGCCATCTGCTTCACTCCAATAGCCCCTGGAAGAATTAAAGCCAACCGTTTTGCTAACAGTTTAGCAATAACTTCAAACTGCATCCCAATGAGGCTAATAGGCCGATAATCCTTCACGACTAAAGGACTATTAATCTTCGGGATGAGAGTAATAAACGACGAATTACATCCTACTGGGATAATAGGTTTATAGAAAAATTCTTGCACAAAGTCAACCACATCACCACCTAAAATATCCCAGTAATGTTTAAGAAACTAGAACAAGAATCCGTCCGGACCAGGAGCAAGCTTTCCACCATAATCCCAAACTGCCTCCTTAATTTCTTCAGGCAAAAACGACTTCTCTAAAAACTTCACACTGTCAGAACCAATACTAGCAAACCGATTACTTTTATTCGTCATCCGAATATTATTAAATGCTTGAAATTTGAAGGAATAAAAAATCAAAAAAATTCTTTTTTAACCGCCGACGGATGTGTCAGCCAATCCCCGTTAACAGAAACCCCACGAATTAACATTTGACGTTTTTTCTTTTAATATACCATGAAAAAAACCAGAATTCTCATCCCCTTCAACTGACCATTTCACTTTAGCTTTTTTAGCAACATCCGCAGTAACATGTTTCTCAAGATAAGCAATTTCCCCAAGAATTTGTTTCCTTTCATTATGCAAATCGCTAGAAAATGCACCATCATCAATAGAACAATCAGTATCATGTAACCGGGACTCCAGATGCAATTTATGCACATCGCGCACCTCCTTAGCCCAAGAATGCCACTCCTGAGCTTTACTCTTAATAAATTTTAGTTTATTTTTAAGCAAAAACAAACTTGCTCCAACTTTGATTAGGCACAAACTCATTAACGCACCCACGAATCATATCATCGAAACCTTCCAAAAGCAACCAAGAATAATAGAACATGAAAGGAGAAGGACCATAATCGACCTTATAATCAAGAAGCAAAATAGGACAATGGTCAGACCACTTCGTATCCAACACAGCCACCTGTAACGCCTGAAATCTATAAAAAATCAATTTTGAGACTAAGAACGGATCCAGTTTACTAAGTTTGACATTTGAAGGGTCAACCTATTAAATTTCTTCCCAGTCATCGGAACATCCACCACACCTATATCATCGATAAAGTCATTAAAATCTCCAGCAGAAGCATGACAAAAGATAGACCCGAATCTCTCATCTTCACTTCTAACCACATTGAAGTCACCAAAAATAATATAATTACCCATGCCTTCTTATAAACACATAAAAGTTCACCATATAGCACTCATATTAAATGAAATCCACACACCACCAACAATAACAACATTACTAGAGCAAAAAATAATGTTTTAAATAAAAACACTTGGGTCCCATATAGATAAAATACCTCCCGATCTCCCACGAGTACTACTAAGCAAAATCAAAATTACAATTCCCCCACATACTCCAGACTCTAAACAAGTCCAACTAAGTAATCCTTGTTTCTTGTAAACCCAAGAAAGAAACCCTATACTTAACAAAAATTGACCTCATCCAACTTCTTTTAAGACGAGTTCCGATGCTACATATATTCGAAGACATGCAAATTCATTGATCAACTTGAATAACACCAATACTAGCCAATATTTGTCTAATCTTTTCTTTATTACCTTCCATATCATAACCAAGTAACCCTCCCATTTCAACATTTTGTTTCATAATATCAACAATATCTTCGATATTAGCAGGAACTCATTTTTTCACAAGTTTTGACGAACCATGAGAATTTGAATTGGCTGTTTTCGGAATTGGATCAACATCATGTAACATCCGTCACTTGAGGTATTATTTATTTTAAAATACTTATTATTTATTTGTTGGGCTATGGAATAAGTAATGGATTATTTAGTGGACTTTAGCTAGTGGGCCAATAGGATTGGGCTACCCGAAGACGTATGTTGGGCGTAAGCTTGGCGTACGCGGGGCGTAGTGCAGCATTGGA